TCGTTACATACGACCATCCAGCCTCATGGCCTTAATCATGATGGATTTTTTCCTTTGAAACGCATGCCCACCCTCAAAGGGGTGGTCGTTACATACGACCATCCAGTCTCATGGCCTTAATCATGATAGATTTTTTCCTTTGAAACGCATGCCCACCCTCAAAGGGGTGGTCGTTACATACGACCATCCAGCCTCATGGCCTTAATCATAATGGATTTTTCACATACAGCCTGTCATCGAGGTTAATCCAGGGATTCTGACTATATAAAGTTAATTCGGTAAACAGTAAATTGTAGAAACTTCAATACGCCATTTCATTCATCATCGAGCAAAGTATTTCATTACATTGGTGGTAATGAGTAAAAAAGAAAAAAATTTAAGCATTATATTTCTTTAAGTTAGCCACATTCCATGACCTAGCTAGAGATCTTCCTTCAGCATCCTTTAAAGAGTATGCCCCTCCAACGTGGACCTTTTCGACCAGGTATGGTCCTTCCCAGTTTGGCTCTAATTTCCCGACGTGTTTCAGCACATCGACTCTCTTCCACACCAAGTCATCCACTTGGAATCTTCGTGTTTTCACTTTTCTATCATGCGCTGCTCGCATCCTTTGTTTGTACGCCTCGACTCTGATTGTTGCCTTCTCTCGAAGCTCTTCGATTGTGTCGAGCACTGCCATCATCAGATGTTCATTATGTTCTCGATCATACGCACTCAATCTTTGGGACTGAACCTCGACCTCTATTGGAAACAAAGCTTCCATGCCGTATACCATACTGAAAGGTGTCTCCCCAGTGTTCGATCGGGGAGTTGTTCTGTATGCCCATAGCACCGAAGTAAGTTCATCCACCCATGCTCCCGATGCCTTCTCCAACCTTGTTTTCAGACTGTTCAATATAATTCTGTTGGTCACTTTGACCTGCCCGGTGACCTGCGGTTGTGCGACTGAAGCGAAGTGTTGATCGATTTTCATGTCCTCACACCATGCCTGGATCTGCTTGACATTGAACTGGGTCCCGTTGTCCGACACCAACACTTTAGGAACTCCGAACCTGCAACATATGTTATCGTATAGAAAATGTATCACTTTCTCCTCCGTGATCTTTGCCAGTGGTTCAGCCTCCACCCACTTCGTGAAGTAATCGACCACGACAATCAAGAACTTTCTCTGTCCGGTTCCTTGGGGCATGGGCCCAACCAGGTCGATCCCCCATTGGGCGAACGGGATGGGAGAACTCATCGCTGTCATAGCTTCGGCCGGTTTGTGAATGAGTGGGCCGTGTTTCTGGCATTGCAAACATTTCTGCACCATCTCTTTTTCCTCTTCTCTCATTGTTGGCCAGAACTATCCTGCTCTTAGAGCCTTTGCTACCAAGGAACCTACCTTGCTGTGGTCGCTGCAGCAGCCCTCGTGAATTTCCTTCAACACATATCGCCCTTCTTCTCCGGTTACGCATCGCAAGTGGGGGCCCGCGTGCAACCTCTTGTAGAGAATCCCTCCATGCTCGAAAAATCTCCTTATCACTTTAACGGCTCCTTCTTTCAATTCTTTTATTATCGGTGCCCTCCAGTCCTCGACTTCTTCTATCTCGACCACCTCCTTTTCGACCACACTCTTCTCCATGTGCAGCAAGGTCACACTTCTGCTCTTGCAGTCCACCAGACTTTGTGCCACTTTAGCTAACAGATCTGCTCGACCATTTTCTCCTCGAGGTATCTGGATTAATTCAAAAGAATCAAACTCTCCCTGTAGTTTCTTTATTTCCTCCACATACTTCATCATTTTTTCCTCCCGGACCTCAAACCCTTCCTGGAATTGACCCACCACCAATTGTGAATCCGAATGCACCTGTACTGCTCGAGCTCCGCCACTTAAGGCCAGTTTGAGTCCCTTAATGACCGCCTCATATTCCGCTTCATTATTTGATATCTGGTAGGCCACCTTGATTTCCAACTCCAGGCTGTCACCTTTCGGCGACATAAGTACGATGCCTAGGCCACCTCCGGCCCTCGACACTGATCCGTCTGCAAACACCTGCCACACCCCTTCAGACTCCTCGCTCTCCTTTGTCCCCTCTTGTATAAAGTCGGCCAGTGCTTGAGCCTTAATCGCCCTCCTCGGCTCGTAGATAATTATGTATTCACTCAGCTCGACTGCCCATTTGTCTAACCGCCCCGACACAGAGGGTCGACCCAGTGTTTCTCCCAATGGCATATTCGTCCGAACCTTCACCCTATGTCCCAAGAAGTATGGTCTCAGCTTCCTTACAGTGACCACCACCGCCAAGGCCCCTTTTTCAATCTCCGCCCCTTGCATCACCTTACTCACGTAATAGATCGGAAATTGGGCTGTCCTTTCCTCCCATAATAACACCGAGCTTACTGCCGTCTCACCGATGGATATATATAACACCAAGTCCTCCATTTGCACCGGTTTTGCCAATAGTGGGAGGTCGACCAGCACCCTCTTCAACTCCTTGAATGCTTTCTGAGCTTCTTCTGTCCACTGGAATTTCGAGCTTTTCCTGAGTGTCTTAAATAGGGGCCCGCTTTTCTCAGCTACCTTAGAAATAAAGCGACTTAGGCCTGCTATTCGACCAGTTAGGATCTGCACCTACTTCACCTTCGTGGGGGGCTGCATCTCGATCACCGCCCTCACCTTCTCCGGGTTGACCTCGATCCCCCTCTTCGTGACCATATAGCCCAAAAATTTTCTGGATTTGACCCCGAATGAGCACTTAGCGGGATTCAGCTTCATCCCATACTTCCGAAGGGTCATGAATGTTTCTTTCAAGTCGTTTACATGGTCAATTTCCTCTTTGCTCTTTACCAGCATATCATCTACATACACCTCCATGTTCCTTCCCAGCTGATCCTTAAAGATTTTATCCACCAACCTCTGATATGTCGCCCCTGCGTTCTTTAGACCGAATGGCATCACCACATAGCGGTATGTTCCACGGCTTGTTACCAAGCTGACCCTTTTCCAATCCTCTCGAGCCAGTGGGATCTGATGATAACCCTGGGATGCGTCCATCAAACTCAATAACTCACATCCGGTTGTGGAGTCGACCAGCTGGTCGATCCTGGGAAGTGGATATAAATCCTTCGGGCATGCCTTGTTCAAATCTCGAAAATCTATGCACATCCTCCATTTCCCCTCTGACTTTGAGACCATAACCGTGTTCGATAGCCACTCTGGGAACTGAATCTCTTGTATGTGACCTGCCACCAAGAGTTTTTCTACTTCCACCTCGATTACCCTATCCATTTCTGCCCCGTGGTGTCTCCTTTTTTGCTTCACCGGTCTTACCGTGAGGTCGATGTTCAACCGGTGCTCAATAACCTCGGCCTTGATGCCGGTCAACTCCTCCGTCGAGTATGCGAACACATCCGCAAAATCTCTTATCACCTTAACTAGCCTCGATTTCACCGGCTCCTCCAATTCCTTCCCAATCCGGAACTTTCTTTCTTCGCACCCCTCGACCATTTGTATCTCCTCCACTTCGCCACCCGACTGCATTTTGGCATTCTCCTTCCCCTTCTCTGGCTTATGTCTTTCCTCCTTCGACCTCGACCCTACCGGTCGATTAACTTCCTCCCCCTTGAGGTGCACCTGCCGCCTTGCTAATTGCTTGTTGTTGCTTACAGTGGTCTGGTAGCAGCTTCTCGAGGTAAGTTGGTCCCCAGCAATCTCACCAACGTTTTCGCCCACCGGATATTTGATCGTCATGTGGTACGTGGATACGACTTCCTGGAACGCGTTCAAGCTCGTTCTCCCCATTATGATGTTGTAGGATGACTCAGCTCCTACGACCACAAATCTCACTATTCGAACCTTCCGAGTCGCTCCCTTTTCAAATGCTACACATAGAGTCACTTCTCCCATTGGCATAACCTCCCCGCCGTTAAAACCATACAAGGCCGTGGCCACCGGCTTTAGCTCGACATTCAACTCCAGGTTGATTTGTACAAAGCAGTCATAAAACATGACATCGACCGCACTCCCTGTGTCTATAAACACCCTTTTTACGTCAAAACCTGCAACTTCGGCCGTAATTACCAGGGCATCATTGTGAGGCACCACCACCCCCGCTGCATCCTCTGCTCGAAAACTGATTTCTGGTACTCGGGCCGTGATACTCACCTCTTCCCTCTTCCTCTTGATTGCTCGAACTTGGCCTCTCCTTGCATTATTCGAGTCCCCGTCCGTCGGTCCTCTTGAAATCATATATATCGTACCTCTCTTCACTTGGCCTCCATCTCCTTCTCTTTCCCGCTCCCTACTTCCCCGCCTCCTTTTCCCCTCATCTCTTTTTCGACCATCTCGACCACCTCGTGCATCCTCATCATCATCTTCCTCGCTCCTCTCCACCGAGTCCTCCCGACACCTTCTCTTCTCCTTCCTCCTCCCTTTATCCTGATAAACAAACTCCTTGAGATGCCCTGCTCGAATAAGGCGCTCAATCTCGTCCTTGAGATGCCGACAATCCTCAGTAGTATGGCCATAGTCTTTGTGGAAGCGGCAATATCTCCTCGACTTCGGTTGGGTTGGCCCTTCGAACCTCGACCTTGGCCACGTCACATCTTTCCCATATATCCCTTCCTTCTCGACTGGCTGGAACTTGAATAATCGCCTTCCTTCTCACCGGTTGAACGTCGTGCACCTACAAAGAACTCTCACACCGGAGGGGTTTTCCGGTGAAGAACCTCCGAAGCTTAAGTCAGTGTATGTTCAATCAATTCTCAAGAGTCAGTAGTAGAATGATCGTGTTGAAGAAGAAAGGCTTACCCCCTTTATATAGGGGTGAGATACCTGACCTAGGGCTGCCCGGATTTGATGAGCTGTCTGCCCTAACTGCCCGTCCGTACACACCAAATGCGTGTGTCAGAGGTAGCCGTCGCCACTATCGCCTGCACCAATCCTCTTTGGACGCGTGTCCTCCTGCACATGGGGTAGGCTGTCAGAGGTGGTTATCGCTATCCACCACTACCTTCTTGACACGTGTCCCCCTGCACATGGGGTAAATATTCCCCTGGAATTCCGTTAGAGGCTCTCTCACGCGCCTGTGACTAGGCCGATCAACGTGGTGTTAAGTCCTCGAAGTAGTCGACCTGTTGAGGTCGAATGAGTTGCCCGATCATGTATCTGGTCGAAGGATAGTTTGGTCGACAGCCTTACTTGGTCGACTGGTTAACTGCTCGATTTCCTTGACTTCCCCATAATATGACCTCCCCGACCGGTTAATAGACCGGTTCAGCCTAATGGGTATGATATCCCATATCAAAGTCGTTGATTAAATTATAGTTTGTTGGTATTTATTTTTACACACTTTAGCAAAAGCAAATTAATTTACATAAGAAAAAATAAAAGAAAAAAAAAATGAAAGATTTCTAAAATGATATTATAAATTTAATGGTATATATTTTGTTAAAATTATGTATTAAAATACATAATAAAAGGAGATTCTTAATAGAATACCGATACAAAAATACATGATTAATATCAGTGGGGGTAGCTCTTCAAAAAATAAATACACTGGGTTTCAAAAATAAATATCGGGTTATACTAGGAGAATAATTTGTAGTATTTTGTATGTGAATGAAAAAAAAAAAAACATTTACAGTGTTAGACATCTACCACTGGAGAGTAATTTATGCACATGTCATTTTATGTTGTCCACATAGACATAAACCATCTATTATAGACAATAATTCACATTAACCATTGGAGATGCTCTCATAATTTCAAACATTATACAAAAGTTTTATTTATTGATAATTAATAAATAGTGACGAACTTATTCTATGTCGAATGTATAATTCCAACTGAAAATAAATATTATGAAGATTAAATGAGAAAACACAATAATAAAGTTTAAAAATAAAGAACAAATAAAAAAAATGCAAGGAATTGAGTAACTAAAACAATAGAATATAGTTAAAGAAACAATAATGTATTACAAAGGATGTGAGTAAAATAATTTAAAAAATTAATATAAAAATCATGAGAACACTATTTTTTAATGTATAATATTATTTTTAATTGTGTTTGGTGTTAGTTATAAAAGAAATTTATTTATAAAAAAATAATATTATATAATAGTATCTATTTAAATCGTATATAGTTCTAAAAATATCATCATAATATTGAATACATTATCACAGATAATCCAAGAGAGTATCATTATATAATTTTTAATGTTTTATTTTTTATTTTTTTTTCGGAATGATAGAGATTTTATAAAGCGTACAAATGTGCGGATAGAAAGCAACCAAAAGCGTAATAATACAACTAAGAGCTAAAAATTGTGTGGACGAATCCGGTGATCGCTTAGAGACCGCACTGGCAACGATAGACCAATACCACTACAAACGAAACAAAAAAACACTACAAAACTCCAACAATGGAGACTTTCTGATCCTAAAAAGATAATACTCGCTCACACTCGGGCACGCAAAGATCAACGACCCAAACCAAAAACACAAACAAGACAACTAAAAAAAAGCCACACAAAAAATCGAAACAGACTAAAATCGAGCCATTCCACAGCAGATCGACTGAGTCGAACCGGCAGACAAAAAATCGACCTCAATGGAAGATCTGCAGCCTGAGAAACCGCTTCTGAAACTTCCGAAAACTGCCTAACCGAAGCCGAACCCAAGTCCCGAACCAAACCAAAAAATCAACCCAACCCCCAGCCGCCAGAACACCTAATCTCCCTCCACACCACTATTTTTCACATTTTTATTACATTTTCGTTATTTTTTGTCTTTCTTTATTCACCGAATTAAGTCATTTCATTGTTTTTTAGTTTATTTTGTAGTTTTTAGCGTGTTTTCTTTTTTTCTTTTTTGGATTTCTATGTGTTTTAGTGTGTTTTTCTGGTTTTCTCCGTTTTTGTTTACATTTTTGTTGTGCAGGTTGAGAGCTTTGGGAGAACCATATTTCAGGCAAAAACTGACCCTGCAAGCATAATTAATTAGAGGGCTTCGTTGGCAACGAGCCGGAAAAAACAGAACTCAATTCTGAGTTCGGACGAGTTCAAACGAGCCCTAGACACAAAGTCGTGCACGGAAGCCACCCGACCCAGGCCTCGCGCCAGCTCAGCGCCGCGGCCTTATTGCCCGCCACGCTGCGGTGCCCACCACGAGGGTTCGGATTATGCCCCCTCCTCCTCTCCATGTTGTGTTGTCGCTCCGCACTGCGGCACTGCCAGTCTTCACGCCGTGGCCCAACGCACGGCGAGCTCCACTAGGCTTCAGAGAGCGCAGCACAAGCAGACCTCCGCGTTGCGCAGCCATGCCACTCCGCGGCACTAAAGACCCTCCGCGTCACGGTGCCCTGCTCCCTTCCATGCCAGGATGCCTCCTCCGCGCTGTGTCATCTGTGTTGGGCCTATATATACACCCCGAGCGATTCATTCAAGGACTCTCTCTGTACGAGGGTGGAAAACCCTAGGCCTAAAATCACCTCCATCTTCTCCTTTCTACGTCTTTTTCCTCTTCTTCTTCTCTGCTTCCTTTTCTCCTTTTCTTCTTCGTTTTCTTCTTATCCTCCTCCCAACTCCATTTTTCTCTTCCATCTTTCTTCTTTTTCTTCTTCTTCAACATTTTAAGGATTAAGCTTTGTAATTGGATTCAACACTTGGATTTGGATTAACTGTAAGTTTTTCTCCTTGTTTAATTTATGAAAATAATTGATTGGGGAGAAAAGTTTGATTGTGTTGAATGTGATATATGTAGCTAATTTTGATTGCTAGCTAGGAATCAGGGAAAATGGTTCTTGTTTGTGTTGGGATCTATGAGGATTTCGTTATGCACAAATCACGAATTCAATAGTAAACGTAAACCTATGCGCAACGGATCTAAAGGTTTGACGTAGAAAACTTAAGGTTAAAATTTATGGTGATCTGGCTGATCCTCCGGATAGTCGTACAAACACACGAATTGGATTGGATCAAGAACGGAATGTTGGGCTCACAATCGGAATCGGGTCGTGAGAACACGCGGATCGCCGGGCTCGGGCTGGCCGATCGCGGGGGCGCGTGATCGTCGCGAGACGCTCGCCACGGGCTGGTACGGTGGCGTGTGCAGCTCACGTCTACTCCGGCTGGCTCGCGGCTTGCTTCCGGTCGGCTCACGATGGGTCGGGCATGTCGGGTCGGCTGTCCGGCAGGTCTGGCTCGTCGTGGGTTGATCTTCGGGGTAAATTATAAATATATATATATATATATCTCAATAAACCACGAGATCGTCTACTGTATATCTCAAACACCCGCTTAATATTGTACCGATGTAACAACACGAAGATGATAAACCTCGAATGAGAACTGAGAGAGGAAAGGGGCGCATGAGAGGCTGCCGAATTATTCACGTGAATTGTGATTTTTTATGTTCTCTTTCCATGAGCTTAATGAAGTATATATAGAGCTACAGTAGGGACATTTAGGAGATTAGGATTAGGGCTCCTTAATTAATTAAAATACTTGTGGACCAATCCACTTATTTTAATTAAATAAATAATATTAAATGGGTCACCAACAAAATATTATTGCACTCTCTTTTCCTAACCCAATTTACAATTGAGATTCCAATAATAATTACTCGTTTCACCGAAGCTAGCACTCGTTCATCACATAATTTTTATGCCGAAATTTTATCCACCTGCAGGGTTTAGCATAATAATCAATCATGAACTCACTCCGGGGATATCAAACTAACACACATGGTGACCGTAAATATCCTAACAGCACATCCTACATACAGCAATATTACCCAAGACAGCGGGTCTATTGACTTAGTTCACTAAGCCTCACCTATGTTAATCAAAGTAATAAGTACTACACATATATGCCTGTTTAATATCTTACGGGTTAAGAGTACGCTGTAATTAACCGAGGCCTAGTTCGTATACGACGATCAGTATAAAACGAACTGCTACTCCTCTCTAGGATCTTGTTCAATGCACAAATGTACTAGTGCAACTAATCAGCCAAGACAAACTGTACAGTTGACACTACAACTGTTCACGATGGGGTGTTCATGTCCATCTTGGTTGTGAACCATTTATTCTTGTTTTGCGAGTAACTGATAGCATGATTTTCGGTCGCCCGATGACGACCCACACTATCTAATGCAAAACAACAGAACGTATAACTTGTTTAATCTAACATGTTTCTCATTCATAAAGGGTAAAATTGTAATATCATCCAAAGCCAAGCTTTCAGTATATAACACTAACAATCTCTCACTTATACTTAAAGCTTTCTCTTTTACAAGTATAGTCCTATCAATCCGTTATTCTAAAAGACCTATGTCGATCTTATCGCCATGCACTTGACTCCCATTCCTATCACGTGTTTGACGAAGACCTTCTCC